GATACAAACCGAACCGTGAGTAAGTTGAACCGTTCCATCCCTAATAAATAATACACACACACATTTTTCTAACTTTATTCTGTTTTAAAATTAGTTTGAAGTTAATGTACTAAAATATAAACATTAATAAATTTATACAGACATTTAAAAATAATACAATTTTAAATATCTATATTTTTTACACTACGTTTAAGTACATCAAGTTTACCTTGATGTACTAAAATTAAACATTTCTACAAAATATAAATAATTTTAAAGATATATATTAAAAAAAAAATAATAATTTGTATATAAATATATAATTTTAAATAAATAAAAAGAAAAAAAACCTTCAAAATATTAATAAAAACTATAAAAGTATCTCTATCCTAAAATAACATTGAACACAATCACAGTCATCAGTCCCCCAACAACAAGTGGTTTCTGAGTGTCTCTTACCTGTCTTCATCTGCACCAGTTGAGACCGTAAAAGCACTGGCAGCGCCGTCCTGTCCGAGAGCAGCCACCGGCCCAGCCCTGCCTCCTGCAGCCAGAGACAGCAGCGTGTGGTGCTGCAGCAGGAGCCGCTGCGCATCTTCCAGCTGTGAGGCCGTCACGTATGCGGGGCCCGCCAGGTGCAGCGGGGCCCTCAGCGGCTGCAGGTCGCTCTGAGCGGAGCTGCGGGATGAAGACAGCTGCGCTCCAGGTTGGTTCGGGTTGATGCCCATCTGCGGGGGCCTCGGAGACACGGGCCCCGGAATCCCGATGGACACTGGAGTGGCTCTGGGCGACACTGCGTTCGGAATCGGAAGAGGTTGGACGTTTGCCGCGATCTGAGCGTATTCCACCGGAGTGTAGCTGCTCTGGGGCTCTACACTGTAGGATCGAACCGGAGCGGATGAGCTCTCCGTCAGAGGAACCATGTGAGCGCAAACCTGATGGACATCTCCGCCGCCGCTCAAGGTGCTTCCAGAGGAGCTGCCGCTCGTGGTCTCGTGTTCAGACTGGACGACGCTCTCCACCGCTCTGTGAGCGACGGCCGCGACGTCTCCAGCCGGGGCGTCTTTTTCGTAAAACTCCGTACAAGTCCAGCGACCCTTCCGAAACGGCTCCGTGTTGGAATCGAGCTTCACCACCCTGAAGCGAGAGGCGGTGGTCGCCGCGCTTGCGGTCGGAGGATTTGCGGGTGCAACCGGCATCACGGTGGGGACCGGAGCTCTGGCGGCGTCAGGTACCGGTGCAGCGGATCCGCCTGCCTCCGCAGCTTGGACGGAGCGCCCGCTCGAGGCCGGAGCCTGCGGGACGGCGGGGATTGCTGAAGGAGCCGCGGGTCGTCCAGTCTTGTGATGATGGTGGACGCCGTTGACCAGGTACCCCTGCTGCATCACCGGCTCATTGGGCGACGTGACTCCGGGCGTCTCGCCCCCCTGCAAACTATTCAGCGTCTCCTCCGACGAGCTCCTCTCAGGGACGCCGGTGTCAGTGGCCCGGGAAACCGAGACGTCCAGGATGTCGGACGAGGACAGGTCCTCGGTGTGCGACTCGTCCATGTCGTCGTAGCTCTCCGTATCTTCGGCGATGCTGTTGTTGGCGCTGGCGGAGGACACCTGCGCGGGCAGGACGCTGGTGATCTGGAAGCCGCTCTTCTTCTTGACCTGCGTCCCGGCGGGCTGGAGGCTGAGGCTGTGCGGCGGGAGATGAGGGGACGTCTGGTGGTCATCGGAGCCGAACACTGACGGGTGGGACATCCTCCTGCTGCCGGGGGACTCGCCGGGGGAGTCTGAGTGATGCATCGGAGAAATACTACGGTAAACGGTGTACTGAATCTGATGGACACACTACAGTCCGTGCAGTGACGTCGTTAGGAAACCGCTTAAAGTCCCCATTTAAAGAGCAAGCGAGAGTTTGACAGCTCCTCCAACAGATGCTCAGCGAGTGTTTATGCTAAATAATGCAGGCTAGCTCCTGGTTAGCACATCAAACGCGGCTACTGGTTAACTGACAGCTAACTCAGTCCACCAGCAGCGTGTGTCCCGACAGAAAAGCGCGTCAGTGTCAGTGACACGCGTCAGTTACGGCTGATAAATGAACATAAACAGACGGTCGACATCACCTCAGCGCTGCAGACGCTCTTCCGAACTCCTGATGTGACTGAATACGGACTTAAATCGGGGTTTAAATCGCCGCTTTCTGCTCTCTGGCCTGCGTGAGGATGCTGGAATGGCTTCGTTTGCTGTCTCATGCCGTCGTTGTCTCATCACTACCGAACGCTGTTAGCACGCTAACCGACGAGCTAGCAGCTGTGGTGACGCCAGCAGGGGGCGGAGCCGCGGCTCGCAGGACACGCCCATCGCAAGGCGCTCCAGCGCTGATCCGGGATCAGATGTCTCGCGGTTCCCGCGGTTGAGATGCGGCTGGAGGACACACTGAGGACCGGACGAATGCGGATACATTACCGACAAACATTCAGTAGTTTTCAATAGAGTTAAATTATTATTATTTTTATTTAAAAAATGGTACTATATAAACGTTTATTTTAAAATTTACATTTTATGTAAAAAAAATATTTATATTTTTTACATGGACTAAATAACCTTTTGCGGTGTAAATAATTGTTTTAAGTGACATTAAAGTAATAATATTGCAGCGCATCTGTAACGTAATTCTAAAATGATATATTTTGAAGCTTTTTATCATTTTTTTTTTACATGGACATTATGACAAATGTTAAATACATCCTTTTTGTAAAATTTTCTGTGAAATTAAAATCAGATTCTGATTTAGTTTCTGATTTCAATTTAATTCTTTCAAGCATTTTATCATCATTTTCACGTCGACTAATTAACCTTTTTCTAAATAAACCTGTATACCAGGCATAAATAGTTAACGCGGTAAATGATGCTGTAATACTCTATTTTCTAGGGCTTTTACTTATACTTACATATCGTTAAAAAATACAGACGTTTGCTCAGTAAAATGAACATTCAAAGAAAGATATCTGTATTCACTGTTTTGTGGGTAAGATTTTACAATTAGGTTCCATTAGTAACTAATATTAACTCATTAATCCTTGTTGATAGTTTTATTTTAAAAAAAACAAAAAACAGCTGTTCATAAGAATTAAATAATATTAACAGATACAACTTTTTAATAATGTATTAGTTAATGTCGGAATGAACATTAACTGATTATGATTTAGATGCATTTTTCATTATTCATGAAAATTACCATTTTGTGGACAAAGACAGAAGTGAGAACAAATCCACAGCCCGTAAAGTTCATATTTATTTAACTGCATAATACAAAGGCACTATTTTGTCAGGATTAGCAGCGGACACGCATGATCTGAAGATTAACATTAAATAATCACAGATTTACTGCATCTGAGAGAACTACAGTCAGAACATGAGCTCAAAATACAGATCAAACTAACTCATATCCATTCATTAGTTATGAGTCTTTTCTTTTGAAAGGCCAAACACATGATTAGTAAATAAAAATAACAAGTGGAAGAAAAAAAGGTTTCTGAGCGTCTGCCGTCAGGAGGACTCGTCACACACTAACCGCTGAGCAAACAGCTGCTGGAACACGCCGCGGCGCTCCGGACGCTCGTTCACACGCGTGTTTTCACCAGCGCTCGTGTCACAGCTGGTCTCGGAGCGCTGCTGTCTGTCTCCACTGAGGTCCTCATCTGATGCTCGCTCAGCGCTTGTGTTCACAGACACACTGATCTCACGAGAGTCTTGAGCAGCCAGACCGAAGAACCCGCTGCGCACGATGAAGCGGACGCACTGGAGAACCACGTTCCTCTCGTGACGGATATCAGGAGCCAGTAGCTGCACGACAAACACACATTCAGACGAATCATGATGTGTAATATTGTGAAATATTATTATGTTTTCTATGTGAATATCTGTTAAACTGTAATGTATTTCTGTGATGCGCAGCTGTATTTTCAGCATCATTACTCCAGTCTTCAGTGTCACATGATCTTCAGAAATCATTCTAATATGCTGATTATTAGAAACATTTCTGATTATTATCAATGTTGAACACATTAATATTTTTGTGGAAACTGTGATACATTTTATCTTTCAGGATTCACAGATGAATAGAAAGTTCAAAAGAACAGCATTTATTTGAAACAGTAACATTATAAATGTGTTTACTGTCACTTTTGATCAATTTAATGCATCCTTGATGAATAAAAGTATCAATTTCTGTCACAAATAAAAAGAGTCTCACAAATACTTTGTGTAAGAAAGCAGTGTGAACATTCTGGAGTGTGAGTGTGTGTCTGTGTGTGTGAGAGAGTGTGTGTGTGTGTCTGTGCGTGTGTGTGAGTGTGTGTGTCTGTGTGTGTGTGTCTGTGTGTGTGTGTGTGTGTGTGTGTGTGTGTGTGTGTGTGTGTGTGAGAGTGTGTGTGTGTGTGTGTGTGTGAGAGTGTGTGTGTGTGTGTGTGTGAGTGTGTGCGAGTGTGTGTGTGTGTGTTCACTCACCATCTCTAGTAGTGTAGGTCGATGTCTCTGTGTTTCAGCAGGTTTAAAGGTTTTACCTCCTCGTCCTCCTCTCGCCCCGCGACCACGACCGCGTCCTCTTCCTCTGCCGGCCGGGGCATGATGGGAATGCTGTGGTGTGTGTGTGTGTTTCTCCTCGTGCGGCGCTGGGATCCTCTGGACAGGAAGTGGATGAGGATTCAGGAGCGTCTTATTCTCCTCTAAAGCCTGACTGACTCTCAGCACTGGAGCGTCTGTGACGGAATAAAACGTGAGAAATATATGCAGTGTTTCAGCAGCAGGGCTTTAATAAGCACAGAGAGCAATATAAAACATAAAAACACATTTTATTTTTAGCCAAACTATTCTTTTAAAACTGAATAATGCACTCTGAATCATTTTACACCATATCAGCATCAGACTATAAGACGATATTAAAGAGTAATACGATTTAAAATAGTCTGAATAACAATAATAATTCAATTAATTCTATAATTTAACAATATTTTTTACAAACAAAATAAAAATAGATAAAAAGAACAATTATGCACAATCTTTCAATTTGATAAAAATTCTAATATTTTCTTTGTACAATGCATTAAAACATATTGATATATCACATGATGCTGTATTGCAGTACAGAATTTGTATCTGGATATTTAGTGTAATTGTTATTTATTTGACTCTGATAACTAGAATAGTGTTAACACTGAGCCCTGCTGATCATCAGGACCGAACTCGTACCGTCTGCGTCTCCTTCGCTCTCGCTGGAGGTCATATCGTCCCCGTAGCTGGACATCAGTGACCCGAGGGCAGAGGTCACGCTCTTGGGGGCGACAGTGAGTCTAGTCTGCGTCTGCTGAACAGACTCGTCCTTATCAGACTCTGAAAGAACACAAACAAAGTCTGTTTGACTGAATGAAGCACAGTTCTGCATCACATCATCAGCAGCAGAGAGCTGAGACGGACCGGGGTCACTGCAGACGAGAGCCGCCAGAGGATCTCTGTCCTGATGCGGCCGCTTCAGATCCGTCTCAGAGCTCGTGTGATGACGGGACCCTTCACATCTCCAGCGGTCAGATCCTCGTCCCCTACCGCGGCTCCTGATGCGACTGCACACAGATCACATTCAAACTCACTCAAACATAATGCAGTGAAAGGAATAGTACACCAATGGTCTGAAACTGTGCTCATCCTCAGGCCGTCCGAGATTAGGATGAGTTTGTCTCTTCATCAGGTTTGTAGAAATGCAGCATTGCATCAGTGTCTCAGCAATGGATGCGAGCACGGTTTACAAGCCAAAACAGTCCAAAACTTTTGTCTTCTCCAGATGTTCACTGATGGACTGGAGTGCTGTGGATTACTTGTGGATTATTGAGATGTTTTTATCAGCTGTTTGGACTCTCATTCTGACGGCACCCATTCACTGCAGAGCATCCATTGCTGAGACACTGATGCAATGCTGCATTTCTCCAAATCTGATGAAGAAACAAACTCATCCTAATCTCGGACGGCCTGAGGGTGAACACATTTACGAATGATATGAAGATCAGAAACGCACCCGAACTGAGCCGTCTCCAGCACGTCTCCTCGCTGCTCCTTCATCTCCATCAGCTTCAGCTTCTTCTCTATGTTTCTCAGCGTTGGGTAGTTTCTACACATATGAAGGAATTTAATAACTACACTATCGTCTTCCGTTTACTGCTGAAAGTTAATTTTGCATAATTTTCCCGTTTATTTATATGAAGCTGCTTTGAAACAATCTGTATTGTAGAAAGCTCTATAGAAATACATGTGACTTGACTTATGTTCCATGAAAATGTTTTTTTGTTCACTTGAATCTTTTTCCTAATTATTTACAAAACTCACTTGCGTCTCTCGTCTCTCCATCTGGCGATGTCCTCTGCAGTGTCCAGTTTGATCCTCTTGGCTCCTGGAGCGTGATTCTGCAGGAGAACAGCAGCGTCACACACTCAACTTTAAACATTTAAGACGCGTTCACACCAACTATAACGATATATAACTATATTAGTGTCCAAACCAGTGGATGACAATGTTCTGTTTATTATAAACACACTGCAGATTAGTGTTCTGTCGCTTTAAATGCTCGAGCTCTTTAAAGTCGGATGGATTCTGATTGGCTGTCAATGTTTTCGGCATTTTTAAAAACGCTCTGAAAGTGATTGCAGTGATTGTTCCTCTGTCTCATCATCATTATTGTTGTGGACTTCTCTTAGAGACCTGTGATGTTCAGCATGAGCTTCTGAAGGGGACACTCACGTTTCTCCAGTGGATCTTCACCAGCTTCTCGTGTGCAGTGAAGAGACAGTCTTCAACAGAGCACTGCAGACACACAGAACGAGCAGAAGAGCACTAATGAGACGCTGTACAGTATGTCACAGACGTCTGAAGGACAGCTGCATGAGCACATGAACGAGCTGCGGTGCGTGTTGATTACGGCGGATCACCTTCACGTGCTGCGAGATGTGTTCATCGTATTTGTCTTGAGTTTTGAAGCCTCGGTCACAGGTGTCACAGAAATGACTGAACCCAGGCTCTTTCTGCTGCTTCTGCTCAAACGAACACATGAAACCTCACTTCACATCAAACATGACTGCAGATCAACACTCATAGAAGATCAGTGTCTGGATTTACCTTTCCACCCCAGTGATGCTGCGCTGAACCCCGCCAGCCATGATGAGGAGGCTGAGGATGGTGATGATGAAGATGACCTGATAGAAATGACATGAGGTCAAAGAAATGATTATAAAACTCACTGTTTCATACTAACAACTATATCAACAGTGAACTAAACACGAGCATACTAACTGAACAGTTAACCAGGTATATGATATTAAATGAACAGTTAACCGTTTAAATGATATTAACTAACCGATTAGATTACTGGGTACATGATACTAACTAGATGAACAGTTTACTGGGTGTGTGACACTAACTAAACAGATTATCGGATACATGATTCTAACTAACCAAGTATATGATACAAATAACTAACTGAACAGTTAACTAGGTACATGATACTAACTGAACAGTTGACCAGTTACATGATACTAACTGAACAGTTAACCAGGTATATGATACTAACTGAACAGTTAACCAGTTACATGATACTAACTGAACAGTTAACCGGATACGTGTTACTAACTGAACAGTTCACCGGGTACATGATACTAACAAACTGATTAGATTACTAGGTATGTGATACTACCTAAATGAACAGTTTACTGGGTGTGTGATAATAACTAACTAAACTGTTTATTGGATACATGATTCTAACTAACCACGTATATGATAGAAATAACTAAGTGAACAGTTAACTGGGTACATGATAATAACTAACCAGGTACATGATACTAATACCTAACTGAACAGTTAACCGGGTACATGATAATAACTAACCAGGTACATGATACTACAAAGTGAACAGTTAACTAGGTTCGTAATACTAATTAAACAGTTAACCAGGTACATGATACTAACTAAACCGTTTACCAGGTAAATGATACCAACTAACTGAACAGTTAACTGGGTACATGACACCCTGTGGGACCGTGATCAACCTTGTGAATGGTTCTTCAGGACTAACCCGTGGTACCCGTCCAGATACACATGACAGTGCCATGTGCTAAAGGCACCTTACAGAATACCATGGTATTACCCTGGTACACTGAGCTCGTGTACCTGCGTACTGCTGCGGCTGGTGGTGGCCGGGCCAGGGTCCGGTCTGTGCCGGTTGAGTCCAGCTCCAGTCTCGGGACGCCTCGAACTTGCGGCTGCTCTGCGGCGTGGAGCCGCTCCAGTGAAGCGCCGCTGGAGGTTCCGCTGCTGCGCTGAAGTTCGGCGGCGGATACCGCTCGTGTTCCCCCGTCATGACCGACACAGCGCCGCTCGAGTTTCACACCGGTTCCGATCAGCGTTCTTACAGTCACATAAACACAAACATGTGCTGCAGAAACATGCTGCGCTACACACGTGCGTGCGTGTTCACTTCTACGTCACTTCCGCAGTGCGCAGAACGCGCTGACGCTAGATGACGCTGTACGTCACGCACTGCATCGAGGAACAACAAACAGATCAAAACGTCCAAAAACGAGTATTTTAAAATCATTGAGATACTATCACATTTTTAATATTTTGAATAAGATTTTGTTTTAATTTCTGCCTTCATGTTACTTTAAGTTAAAGTTTTAGTAATGTTGTATGTTTTGTAATTTTTAGTATACATATGTGTGCTATAAAGTTTTAGTTATTTTAGTACATCAAGTTAAACTACATTAAAATGTTGCCTTGGCAACTAGCTGAAATAAAAAGATGTATTTGATTTTATTTCAGTTCATGTTTAATTTTTTTTCTAGTGATAAACATATTTTTTAGTTTCAGTTTTAGTTAACTATAATAACCCTGTAATTTTAACTTTATATTAAATGTTATATTTAACTTTATTTAGCCGGGATAAGACCAAAGATCAAAAGTCTCATCTCACGCAGAGCATTAACAACAGAACGTTTTATTATAACAAAAAATAAAAATGATCGGAAACCTAACTTACATACATGTAATCATACAAATGAAGCTTTTTCAAGTTTTCATAATCAAGTTTAACCGGATACGTGTTACTAACTGAACAGTTCACCGGGTACATGATATTAACAAACTGATTAGATTACTAGGTATGTGATACTACCTAAATGAACAGTTTACTGGGTGTGTGATAATAACTAACTAAACAGTTTATTGGATACATGATTCTAACTAACCACGTATATGATAGTAATAACTAAGTGAACAGTTAACCGGGTACATGATAATAACTAACCAGGTACATGATACTACAAAGTGAACAGTTAACTAGGTTCGTAATACTAATTAAACAGTTTACCAGGTACATGATACTAACTAAACCGTTTACCAGGTAAATGATACCAACTAACTGAACAGTTAACTGGGTACATGACACCCTGTGGGACCGTGATCAACCTTGTGAATGGTTCTTCAGGACTAACCCGTGGTACCCGTCCAGATACACATGACAGTGCCATGTGCTAAAGGCACCTTACAGAATACCATGGTATTACCCTGGTACACTGAGCTCGTGTACCTGCGTACTGCTGCGGCTGGTGGTGGCCGGGCCAGGGTCCGGTCTGTGCCGGTTGAGTCCAGCTCCAGTCTCGGGACGCCTCGAACTTGCGGCTGCTCTGCGGCGTGGAGCCGCTCCAGTGAAGCGCCGCTGGAGGTTCCGCTGCTGCGCTGAAGTTCGGCGGCGGATACCGCTCGTGTTCCCCCGTCATGACCGACACAGCGCCGCTCGAGTTTCACACCGGTTCCGATCAGCGTTCTTACAGTCACATAAACACAAACATGTGCTGCAGAAACATGCTGCGCTACACACGTGCGTGCGTGTTCACTTCTACGTCACTTCCGCAGTGCGCAGAACGCGCTGACGCTAGATGACGCTGTACGTCACGCACTGCATCGAGGAACAACAAACAGATCAAAACGTCCAAAAACGAGTATTTTAAAATCATTGAGATACTATCACATTTTTAATATTTTGAATAAGATTTTGTTTTAATTTCTGCCTTCATGTTACTTTAAGTTAAAGTTTTAGTAATGTTGTATGTTTTGTAATTTTTAGTATACATATGTGTGCTATAAAGTTTTAGTTATTTTAGTACATCAAGTTAAACTACATTAAAATGTTGCCTTGGCAACTAGCTGAAATAAAAAGATGTATTTGATTTTATTTCAGTTCATGTTTAATTTTTTTTCTAGTGATAAACATATTTTTTAGTTTCAGTTTTAGTTAACTATAATAACCCTGTAATTTTAACTTTATATTAAATGTTATATTTAACTTTATTTAGCCGGGATAAGACCAAAGATCAAAAGTCTCATCTCACGCAGAGCATTAACAACAGAACGTTTTATTATAACAAAAAATAAAAATGATCGGAAACCTAACTTACATACATGTAATCATACAAATGAAGCTTTTCAAGTTTTCATAATCAAGTTAAGCACAAACAATGAGACCAGTTAAAACAGCTGAGCTTCTGTCAGTGTGAGACACACAGTTTCCATTATAACCGAGCTTTCAAATATTTTCACATCTTTAACTTTTGGTCCTCCGTAATCCTGTGGTATTTTTATGATAAGTCTCTAATAATCCTCCATCACATTCACATCTCCAGTCTTCACTGATTGTGAAATTATATTTTATAGCATGTATGCAATTCAGTATCAAAGTGTGTGCAGTGTTTTTCATAAGGGCCGTGTTTGTGCTGCAGGCTCCCGTGTGGCCCCTGGACTCCTCTGTGTTTAGCGAGCATCATGCCTCCTCAGAAGCAGCGCAGTGCTCGTGTGCTGCTGGGAGATCATCGAGAGCAGCGTGAAGCTGTGTCAGCCGGACGCTCTGCACATCTGCGACGGCTCCGAGGAGGAGAACCGCTCCGTCCTGCGTCTCCTGGAGGAGCTGGGAGTCATCAAGAGACTCGGCAAATACAACAACTGGTACGATCACGCCCTGATTTACACCACAGAAGCAGAAGCAGACATCACTGCTGCATGAAGATGAGAGTAAAGTTTAATCACACTCTGGATGATGTGGAAGGCCGTTTGCACCACAATTGCTTTTTATCTCATAGTTCTGACTTTGTTCCTCACAGTTCAGCTTTCTTTGGTGCAGGGCCACATCATATTTTGATATAGTTATTGGAAAGGTTATGGAGTTATTCGTGAGTAATAGAGCTGCTTCATCACTGATAAACAACAGAAGACATTTGCAAGTTGGATTGTAGGTAAGATCAGCTCATCCAGAGCTCTTCTTGTTTTCTGTCTTCTCTCAGCACAGACTGATTGATTCGGATGATTCAGTGCCTGAACGAATCAAACTGAATCACTGCATCTCGATTAGTTCAAAAGAGCGATTCATTTGTGAATCATGAATGAAGGCATGGCTTGTTCGGATTCTAAACCGCTGAAAGAAACACACACACACACCTCAACAGTACGAGCTCATCATTCACTCAGACTTCCCATCAGTCCTTCAGAGTAGAAACTGATCCTCAAGTTCTGTGTTTAGAGCCGCTGGTGAATAACTGGCCGTGTAACCCGGACCTCACGCTCATCGCTCACATCCCTGACCAGAGGACCATTGTGTCGTTCGGCAGCGGATACGGAGGAAACTCGCTGCTGGGGAAGAAGTGCTTCGCTATCCGCATCGCTAAAGAGGAGGGCTGGCTGGCCGAACACATGCTGGTCAGTCAGAAACACACTCAGACCAGCACTGATCACATCCAGATGGAACACAGATGAAGTCACTACAGTGATCGTCTGCTAGAATTAGTCTGAAATATCAGTGCCAATGAGAAAACAAGAAAACATCTCTGGTTCATATTTTGATTTCTTATTCACCTTATTTTTTAAAGTAAAATAAGATACTTTCTGTAAATATGCAAGCTGCTATTGGTAAGTAACTAGACAACAGTGCAGTAAATGGCAAAACTATTTGCACTACAATCCATGTGTTTATGACTTAATAAAAAAAAATATATATATATATGTGACCCTGGACCACAAAATCAGTCATAAGGGTAAATTTTCCGAAATTGAGATTTATGCACCAGCTGAAAGCTGAATAAATGAGCTTTCCATTGATGTATGGTTTGTTAGGATCGGACAATATTTGGCTGAGATACAACTATTTGAAAATCTGGAATCTGAGGGTGCAAAAAAATCAAAATATTGAGAAAATCATCTTTAAAGTTGTCCAAATGAAGTTCTTAGCAATGCATATTACTAATCAAAAATTAAGTTTTGATATATTTACGGTAGGAAATTTACAAAATATCTTCATGGAACATGATCTTTACTTAATATCCTAATGATTTTTGGCATAAAAGAAAAATGTATAATTTTGACCCATACAATGTATTGTTGGCTATTGCTACAAATATACCCCAGCGACTTAACACTGCTTTTGTGCTGCAGGGACACATATATCTAAACATCTTTAAATCAAGATATATTTAGTGGAGATGCACAATCAAGTCTTGTTTTCTGAGAAAGTGAACAAATATCTGCCAATGAGGAATGAAGACATTTGCACTGGAAAAGAATACAAAAATACTAAAAAAGAGCAGCACTTTTTTTTGCAGTGTGATCAGAAGATGATTCTAGTGTTTGGGATGGTTAAGGATACATTTTCTTTACTTGGTCTTAAAAAAGTTACATTCAGAAACCCTGCAAACCGCAGGTGTGAAGAGAATCGGTCGCAGATTGAGTGAAGAAACACGAGCAGCTGATCTTCATCAGGCATTAGATATTCTCATGATGTTCATCAGAGTCTGACCTGAGAGAAAGATCTCTCATACTGGAATATTAGAGAAATACATGATAAACGTGTTGAAGTACAGCATTAATGAGGCTTTGGGGAGACAGGAATACTAGCGTATGAAACTGTCAGGATGATTCGGAATGCCAGAACATCAACCAATCAGAGCGTCCCTGGCTGAAGGACACGCCCCCACACATTCAGAACTTTCACAGTGCTTCAGATCATCACAAAATAACATTACAAAACTCCACAGAAATATTAGATATTGTGATGACATCGATGTAAAATAGTCATAAGGAAACTGGTGATAAAAGCATATCTAACGTCAGTGAACTATTAAATGAGCAGTTCTGCAGATTTAATATGTTATTTCAGCTTCATGTCAGTCAGGGCAGCTGAAATGAACAAAGCTGCTCATTTTCAAACTTGTCAACACATTTATGTAATTAAGTAATAATACTTACATTTACATGCATTTAGCAGATGCTTTTATCCAAATTGGTGAAGTGGAACAAAAGCAACAAGCCAACAATATTCATAATGTGACCCTGGAGCACAAAACCAGTCATAAGGGTCAGTTTTTCGATATTGAGATTTATATATCATCTGAAAGCTGAATAAATAAGCTTTCCATTGATGTATGGTTTGTTAGGATAGGACAATATTTGGAAATCTGGAATCTGAGGGTGCAAAAAAATCTAAATATTGAGAAAAT